AGCTTCCACTATATTGACAATTGAGCTTCCTACATCTGCTAAACTTTCCTGTTTCCCAAAGAAATGGCTGATTTCTGACCTCTGAAGTGGGCTAGTGATGTCTCTATCCTGAATTGGGAATGACCTTCTACCACCGGGTCTGCTGACCCCAGAGGAGCGGGCTGCACTGACAGGGCCCCCTGGTCAGGCTGCTGGTCCTAGCAAGGAAGATGTCAGGACTGTCTCAGCAATAACCAGAGTTACAAAGCACATACGTGCTAGGTGTCAGGAAGTTTTCTAAGCCCTTTACAAAGTTTAGTTCATTTACTGTTCCTACGTCTAAGAAAATAACTTATAATTTGCATTTTACAAACATGAATATAACAAAAGGATAAATAATCTGCATAAGATCACACAGCTGGCAAAGGACAGCTTCACTATCTAGCAGCTTGATTCCGAGATGAGGACACGCTGATACTTTTATTCACAATGTTATCCTACCTCCCTGGCAAGAACCATATTGTTACTTGTAACCTCAGGTCATTTGGGAGAAAGTGATAACTTTAATTCAAAAATAAGAGGGAGAAGGAGTTCCATTCTGTGAGCTTAGGCAAAACATGTAACCTTTCCTGTGGCCCTTAATATCACATTTAGTAAACTATTTTGGATTTAAGCAAATGATAAAATTTCTCTTTTCCTAGATTACTAAAGATTTCATAAGAAAATATCCTAAGTATCAAATGATAGTATTACTGACAAAATTTAGTTTATATAGGGATATTTTTCTTATATTGTATTGGAATAAACTGATAATGTCTATAGTAGGCTGGAGGGAGAACCAGGGCAGGAGAAGGGGGTCCTCTCCTCAGAAGTCAGAAAATTAAATCTATCTCTTTGAGATCCATTGAATCCTAAATGCACTTTCTAATTTCTAAAGTTAGGAACAAACTCATATTGCAGGTAATTGAATTCACTCCAAGAAAAGGGTATACATGAGGTTGTATTGCTAGCATTTCAACAGAATATTAACAGCAAAATGAGAGATTTTATTTGTCACTCTGGGCACTGGATGAACACTGACCTATTTCAAATAACTGACTCATCTAAAATACTCCAGGTCATAAGAACAGCATTTAAATGGAGACACTAATGCCATAGTATGTTTCCTCACTTTAATGACTACACTTTTTGAAATCAAAATTATCTTCTAATTTCAGTAGTACCAAAAATATTATTGGTGTATTGGGGGCCACAAATGAACAGTTTCCACAGATAGGAACTACTCAGTCAAAGATCCAATTCTAGAACAAAATTTTACATAATACTATAACCATGTCTTGCCGTCAAGAATTGTTCTACCGCTATTTAGTGTCATAAAAAGATGTGTAAAGCTAATTTATTTCTATTCCTGCCAATAACTAAAATGTCACAGTTAATTTTTTTAATCATTTATTTTGTGAAGGAAAAAATGGGAAGAACTCAACAGTCATTTCCAGAATGTAAGATTCAAAAACACCCTAAGGAAAATGGCCACAAAATAAAGGGTCCTGGGCGAAGACACAGTAAGCCTTTATGCCACATAGAGGATATTCCACAGTGATTCTACTTCTAGTATTCCATGGTTCTTGTTGATAAAGGATTTAGCCAAAGCCACACTTTAGAGAGCTAAAACCTCTAAGATTCTTAGTGTCTTTCAGCTTTCCTCATCACTGAAATCTGCAATCAGCTAAGTGGCACATCATTTCTCTGTTTTTAACCAAGAGACAGACTAGATACAAATGACAGTCTTCAAATAGTTAATGGCCTCAGGGAATTTGGGATTTCAATACAGATGGCTGGCAGTGGGAAAATATTTTTTTAGTTATTATCAAAATTAAATACCTGCAGACAAATGATTGGATCTGCAAAGTGGCTAATCAGGAAAATATGTGTAATTAATCATGTATAACATTTATGATACTATGGAAACACTTTAGATCCATCCCGATGAATTACCTGTCAAAAAGACTTGTGCTCATGTCTTAACTCTTTAAGAAAATTAATGGTAACACATATGTAGTCATGTCATTCTCCAACTTAAAGCCTACAATGACTTCTCATTACTGAGAGATAAAATCCAAAATCTCTAACATGATCTCCAAAGTCCCTCATGAGCTCTTCCCTGACCCCATCTTGTTCCAATCTTCTTTTGCTCTCAAAGCTCCAGCCAGCCCGACCTTCTTTTATTTCCTCAAGACTTGGCATCTCATGCTCTTTTGTCTGCCAAGAATGAGCTTACCCAGTCCCACCAGGTCCCAACCTTGCGAATGTTCATTCAAGTGTCAGATAAACAGCATTTTCTCAGAGGAGTCTTTTCTGAATCCCCTTATTATATGATATTCATCTGTCACAAGCTTCTCTACTACCTGACTGTCAAGTCAATATTGAAATGCCAGCTCATGTCTTTCTACCCACTGGTGTGTAAGCTCACTGAAAGCTAGGAGGGCATATCTCAGCTGCCACAGTGTCTGGCACGAAAAAGACATCACTAAGCAATGGTGGAATGATTGGTTTCAGACTACACTAAGCATGTGATGAAATGACTAGTTCCAGATTGGTCCACATTAGGGCCATAGCATCCAATATTGTTTTTCAATGTACTGTGGATTATGCTCTGTACCTTAATGTATAACTTTGTTATAAAATCTGTTTAAAAAGGGATGCCAGGGGGAACCTCCCTGGTTGGGCAACAGGTTAAAGTGCAGCACTATGAAGCTAGCCACAGCCACTGCAGCACGAGTTCAATTCCTGGCCAAGGAGGTGACCATGTGGCACAGCAGACCTCTCCTGACCCACCCGCTGCCCCCCTCAGCAGTGCACTTCATCAGTCAGCCTGTTCTCTTCCTCACTCTGTCTCTGGTGAATCCTCTCATTGCCCCTGCACCTCTGGCCTGTACGCCAGTTCTGTATGCATAAATAAATCTTAAAAAAAAAAAAAGAAGCAGCGAGGAAGGAAGGGTCAATCAATCTTTGATCTGCCTGAGCAACCTTCCAGCATCCTTGAGAAAATTCTATCATGGGCAATGTACCCTTCTCAAAACAGAGTGACCATTACATATCCATACTAGTGGGTTCAAGTGAACCTTCACACAGCCCTGAGACACAACAGGCCACTGACAAGAAGACATTCTCATGTGGCCCATCTTGCTTTTTTTTTTTTTTTTTAAAGATTTATTTATTTGTACATACAGAACTGGGGTACAGGCCAGAGGCTCAGGGGCGGTGAGAGGCTTCACCAGATTCAGAGTGGGGAGCAGAACAGGCAGATCGATGAAGTACACTGCTGAGGGGAGCAGCAGGCGGGTCAGGAGAGGTCTGCCATGCCATGTGGTCTCCTCCGGGGCAGGCGGGATTCGAACTCATGCGGAAGTGGCTTTAGCTTCTCAGTGCAGTGCTTTAACCCGCTGCGCCACCAGGGAGGGCCAACCCATCTTTTCTTTCAAGCAACAAAATTTATGTTTTCACATTAAAAGAAATTATATTTCTTTCCTGCCCAAGTCCCCACAGTGACAAGAGTCACTGTTGGAGTGCAGCTGGTGAAATAAGAGACACATGGGCTCAGGAAGCAGCACTGGGCACAGAATGGAAGTGTTAGTTCAGGCTCGGAAACCTATTTACTGATTTATCTCTAGTGTATGGCTTTCTGGCCAGGGTAGCCTTCCCTTCTAAACTGTCCAAATTTCTTGCCTAAAGGGATGCTATAAGCACCAAATGAAATAACCATTTTGTTTTACTGTTGTATATCGGAATTCCCTTGATATTTCAATTTTGAAACTGTAAAATAGTAAACAAATTTTAATGATTATGCCCCTGGTCCTGGAGAACAGTTTTACCTTCTTACATTTGAAAAGTATTTATTCACAAAGTAAATTTTCATTCTCTGCCATGTGATGGCTGGTAGAGAGTTAGCCCAGTTCTAAGCCAGCTGGTGCAGTCAGCCAACTTTCAAGAGGTAATTGAGCCCTAATTGGATATGGTATATTCCTTGCTTTTATTCACTTCTCTGTAGTATGAAAACTAATACAAACAAGTATGATACCTCCTTATAGGTCAGACATCAGTTGACTATTATTCCACAAAAACTTGACATAAAAATAATGACCTAAGTCAGAAGCCAGATAAGCTACTATCTACATGGAATCCTGTTCCCTCCTCCATTGAGGCTCAAAAATTCATTACAGAGACAAACCTTTGTTTTCCTAACTAGACTGAAATCCTAAGTTTGAAATATAAATATCCTGTAGGTAAATAACATAGTAAATTATTAACAAGAGGGAAGAGCTGAATCTAAGACATAACGGAAGAGAGCATTACATGCTTCCTTCCTTTCACAGGCCACGTGAAAGAAAGGGAGAGACAGAAAAGAGACCAAAAAAGAATTAAATCTGGCCCTCCCTGGTGGTGCAGCAAGTTAAAGCACAGCACTAAGAAGCTAAAGCCACTTCAGCATGAGCTCAATCCCCGCCCTGGAGGTGACCACATGGCGCGGCAGACCTCTCCTGGCCCACCCGCTGCTCCCCTCAGCAGTGTACTTCGTCAATCTGCCTGTTCTGCTCCCCACTCTGTCTCTGGTGAATCCTCTCACCACCCTGCACCTCTGGCCTGTATCCCAGTTCTGTATGTATAAATAAATATTTAAAAAAAAATAGAAAGAATTAAATTGATCTTCTTGCTTTACACTTGGGTGCTAAATCATTAAAATATTTTTAAATGCATTATTTTTTTATTATCACAGTCAAAATAACTTTGAGAAAAATGCAGAAATAACTCCTATCTACAGTAAACCCTCAAATGCCCTTGTTTAGTGATTTTTATTGAGGTAGCTTTAACTTGCAACACTGTATGGGATTCAAAGGCACAGGCTCACACTTCTCCAGAGGTCGCCACACGCTAATGCTTTTGTGTGTTCTGTAATATTTCTCAGAAAAATGTGCCAAATAGGAGTGGGATTGACCTGTTCCTGACCTTGTTTTTCACTGCAGACTTATCAACGAGTCTTTGAGGGACCAGCTGTTAGTGACCATCCAGAAGACCTTCACATACACTCGAACCCAAGCACAACATCTGTTCATCATCCTCATGGAGTGCATGAAGAAGAAGGAACTGGTATGTAACATCCTTCCCATCATGGCAGAGCCCTCACCACTTTCCCTCTGTCTGCATAACTCTTTTCTTGAATCCTGAGCCAAATGTTTTTTCTTCCCGACCAACCATCCTCAAGCTCCACTGGCTCTTGTAGTTCCCTCTCCCCAGGAGCTAAGACACTGCTTTTTCTGCCCAGATTTAATGAAGTGTTTGCAGTAGGATTTTAGCATCATTTCCTTTTGAAAATCACCCTAGGCTTCTGATGGCCTCAATCAAATGAGAGAAAAGAGTTGTTTTGTTTTGTTTTTTCTGGAAAGTGTTTCAGTAGATCCTTTCTTAGCATCTTTGCATGTGAGTAATAATCACTTGTGCTTATTGTCAGATAGCTTGGTGACACAGGCTGCAAGCTAAAGTTAATCTGTACAGTAGGGAAATGGAGAATGCTAGAAACTTCTGCAGTTTCTGAAGTGTTGTTCAATCTCTTTTGAAACCTTTCTTACATTTGGGGAAAGTGGCTTATTAACATAGTATAATGAAAGACCCTCTGTGAGGGTGAACAATATCACATCAGCGGACATCTAATGTGCATTTGCTGTGTGTAGGATTGGCTGTTAAATCCTTACCTCTATTAACTTGTGTGAGCTTTGCAACTATCCTGAGGAGAGAGATGACAATTACGACACTTAACTTGCAGAGGAAGAAACTCAATCTCACGTGGATTAGTAAATCAAAGAAGAGGACTTAAAATCAGGGGTATTTAATCCCATGGCATTTAATTTGTATTCAAAAATTATCTCACTGAAGTGGAGGTCAAGTGAGTCATCCCTCATCCCCCAATCCCAGCAGTTTCCTGGCAGACTCCAGCAGTTGCTGACAGAGGAGGTAGCGTTTAAACCTGAGCAGTGGCCACAACCAGGTTTTGAATGGCCTCAAAAGGCAGGACTAGTGCCATTTTGTTCACAATGGTGTTCCAATGCTTGCAGAGTGGCTGGTACACATGGGTTCGCTGAACTGCAGGGTTGTTAGAGGCAATTTCTGAGTTTGAGAATGCAAACATTTAGGAAAAGAAGAATTTGACTGAAACAAGAAAGACCTATATCCAGAAAGATCTGACTTATGTGAGAAACCATTTAACAGCTTCTAGGTTGGGGCGAGAAGAGTGGGACATCACCTGGAACCCTCTGATACCAGCAGATCCAGGTACACCAGCTGACTACCCAATACAGAGAAGCCTAAAGGGGGTTCAGTGAGGACAGCTAGGCCCCAGGGGAACCTGTCAGTCAGGCCAGTGCCACTGGCCACTGCCCATCTGGGATGGGATCAGACCTTGACTCTTCATCTCAACCCGACTCATTTTTTCACCAAAATGAATATTAGTGGTTTAACAATGTTAAGGCCAATGGTGACTATAAAAGTTTACCAGAACTATACATTTTTTCAGCAGTTCTGCAAATTTCCTACAAAGATACTTAGGCTTAAAACACTAGCACAAATTTAGTATGTTTATTGTGAGAACTAGAAAGATGTGTGGAAATATTTTAGATTCTATGAAAATGTTTAAATATAAGGGATATCATGAAAAAAAAATGTGCTCATGGAATAGATAGAAGAAAAGATAATAGGTGATCAGGTTGGATGGAGTCTTTTCCAGTAGTCTTTGACCCTATAACCTCTTCTTTGCTCTTCAGGTTTCTTCCTAAAGGTTTCTGATGAAGGTTCACTCACCAGATTCTCTATTTTCTTGCTGTTTCCCTTATAGTTCATCTTTTCATTGTTATTTGCCTTTCTTCTCTGCACTCTATAAACATACATTTACCAGAGACCACTCTTATCTCTTACTCCTTTCATACACGATTCTGATCTCAGTGGTTATTTTTGGAACAACTCCCGAACATACCGTCTTCCTTCACACCCTTGCATTTCCAGATCCCACACTCATACCCACACCCTCATTACCAACCGGGTCTCTCCTACTCCAACAGGTCCCAACAATCCGTCTTACATGCTACACAGATTGACAAACTTTTCTGGGAAGGTGAAGATAATAAGTATTTTAGATTCCATATGTTACCTATAATCTCTGCCACATTTTTCTCTTTGCTTATTTGTTTTTAAATGCTCCATTAAGCCACAAAGCCATTCTCTACTTATTGGCCATAGAAAAACATATTGTTCACATACCCCATAAACTGTGATCCCTGCTATACAGTAATTCAAGATACTATTTGCTTAAGCACAGACCCAAGTCCATCACACACTTGAATGTAAAATACAATGTTTTGCCTTCAGTGCCACTCTTAATTTCCTAGACCCCTCATGTAAACCAAACTGATCTCCTTGCAGTCATTTTGGGCTCCTACTTCCTGTGCTTGTTCAAACTTAGAGCACTATCTTTAACCATAACCAGTTGGCAAGCTCATGTATGTACACAGATTTGCATGTGCCTGGTGTCTGTGCACACATAAGCATAGCTGCCTGCGCACCCCTGTGGACACACAGAATAGACTTCACTCCTTACTCTGTAAGTCTTGGGGGACTAATCTTTACACCTTGGGGAAGTTTTCACATGCACCACTGATTTCCCAAGTAAGCTTTTAAGAACAATATCTGTGTCTGCTGTGCTCACTCACCCTTATCTGTGTTTAGTATCATGGTGTGTGTGTGTGTGTGTGTGTGTGTGTGTGTGTGTGTGTGTGTGTATAAAACAGACACTTGATAGATCTTTGCTTAATGGATGAGTGAATGAATGAACAAATTCCAATGAATACACATTAATGGGGAGAGATACATATTCAGTATCCATAAATTGCCTTAAAATATCCACTAACACAGTGGCACATCTCTTTAGGGAGTCATAGATTTATTTTATGGTCTTAGATTTTATTCAGATCCATCTGTTTAAGTTGCTAGATCTCTGGGATGTGTTTCAATGTGGTAGTTATGAGGAACAAATACAGAAGCAGATGAACTTGGATTCCAATTCTGGTTTCATCAACCAAATGACCTAACCTCCATCATGCCCCCAGCCCCTCAATTTTAAAAGAATGATAAAATTATGCATGAATTCTAGCATGTGCTTTATTGGGGCTTCCCCTTACCTGTCTATAGACTGCATTGATTCTCCTTTTTGAACCATAACTGGACAGTGCCACAATTCCTCTAGATGAAGACTGGAGGGTTTCTGGCCCAGGGATTTTATGTGCCCTAAATGCATGCCCTATCAAGGCCCAGATGTTACTTACATGGCTCCCTGCCAGATACCAGAGATGACAACTCTTTCCTGGACACTGGGGAGGGAAAGTATTATCTGTCTCATGGGTCTCAGGACACCCAACTCTCCTTCTAATTTAGGGAAATTTGGTTCATGTGCAAGCAATATTTAGTGTGTATGCTGACATCCCATCAAAACTTTCATCAGATTTGGGAAGCTCAAGGGAACTCTCCATCTAGCTTTCCCCAGCTTCATAAAATTAAGCAAACATGACTTCTAAACAAAGTGCTCTGTATCTGGGAAAGAATGATGAAGTCCAGGACATTCCCTGTTACAAAAATAGTTGCTTGTCAGACTCTTAATACCATGGTTGGGGCAGTTGGGTTACCTGGCAGATTAGAGACTAAGCATCATGTAGAGCATTTTCCTAAGGATCCCAGTTATCCCATTACCCAGTTCCTGGGAGAACTTGTGTAAGAATGTGGCCTAGTGTGTAGCCCCAAGGAAGCACTCTGTAACTCTGATTATCATTACAGTCATTCTATGCATAACCTCAGATACTGTACTACTTAAGAGTATAAGCTCCAATGTCTATTCTCTTATTTTTCCAGCCACAGCTAAAATTGTCAGTGAGGCACAGTTTGACTTCATTGATCTAACATCTCTGGGTCCATCTTCCTCCCTTACTTATCTTATCAGACAGAGGGTAGCAGCAAGAGGGACATATGTAGGCCACTAGATGCTACATTGGATCTGCATAAAATCCAAGTCCATAAAATAAATCTATGACTCCCTGAGGAGATGTGCCACTGTGTTAGTGGGTATTTTAAGGCTATTATGGGGCCTGAATATGTATCTCTCCCCGTACATGCTACCAGACAAGTGCCATATACCACCTATGGTCATGAAGGAAAGAATCTTGAGCTGAAAAGGGGATTTTTAGGCCAAATGACTAAAATTTATCAAGTGTCAAATTTAGAAAATGGCTCCATCCAACACAGGGTTTGGGGACAAATAAAGAAGCTCTTGGACAGAGATGCTGACTTGTGTCTCAGCTCCTTTCAGGTTTATCTGAATTGCCCGCTCACCTAAGTCCAAAAATCTTACGGGACAAAGTAGAAAGAGGATGCAAAACGATTGCTCCATTAAAAATGCTTTGCATGTCCTATTTACACAGACAGAAATTTTTACAATGGACTGGTTAATTTTTGGAAATTCTGAAGCTGTCAGATGTTAGGATATCATGGTTGCTATAAGGTTGAGGCAAGCTTTGGAGTCCGTTTCCCTGGCTTCACATGTGAGCTGTGCCATCTACTACACAACACTGAATGATCTTTTTAATGTCTAGACACCTTTATTTTCTCCCCCATAGTATATATGGTTCATTATAAGGATTAAGTGACTTAATTATGCAGAGAACATGCAACGCATTAAAAATCTTTTATGGTAGCAAGGATGATGATATATATAGCACTTTATACTTGACAAACATCTTTGTGTCATATCTGCCACTACAATCAAACTAAATAAATACTGCTGTTAATGCAGAGGGAAACCAAGAATCAAAGACTTAAATCATAGACCAAAATGCATGTAGTTAGTTCATGGCATAAACTTGGATCAAGAACATCTTTCTATAAGTGCTGTGCTCTTTACACCATATTGTATCTGACTCCTTATTCCAAATACCATATGTGGCCAAGTTAAAAATGACTTTAAAAGTAAGAGAAGCCCATTCTCTCTCTCATTTCTATAATAACCTGAACAACTATTTACTAGATACTCAGATTCCTGGAGAGAAAATAGGCTG